GCTATTTAATTAATTCAAATCTTGAATTATATCAATTACTAGTGACTTCACTCAGTTAATTTTTATAATTTCTTTGATTTATTTATTTTTTTCTTTATTTAATTATCTGTTGTTAAGATAATATTCATAGATATTGGCACAAATCTTAGAAATCTTTATCATTATTGAAAATATAGTTTAATTTCTCTCTCTTTATCCTTTAATTATTTTAGTCTCTTCCAACCCTATATTATTAAGATGAATTAAAATAAAACTTCACTTACTAATTTATTGTAATAGTATTATAAAAACTTTAAGTTATATACTCTCTGATATTTATATATAAATAAATTATCTTATTCTTTATCAATTTATAAAATTTATTAAAGAGAAGACAATACTAACTTTTGAATTTAAGAAAAAAAAATAATTTTTAAAGTAATAACTCAATCATAGCTATATTATCTTGACTAGAATTATAAAAATTATTAGAAAAATATTTACTTTAATAATTATAAGTATAATAATATGATAATATATCAAAATTAATTTTTTAACAAATAATTAATTTATAACCTTGAATAATAATATATAAAAAAAAATATATTTGTCAATAATTTCATATAATATTTTTAAACTTGTTCTAATTATTTATAATTAGTTTTTTATAATAATAATATTATTATTAAAATATGAAATTTCATAAAAAAAATTAATTCTGATATAAATCTCAAGATTTTAATATTTATATAAGTGATTTTATTTATAAATTGATTAGATATTTTCATTATTTAGAAGAGAAATAAGCTACAAATAATTTGCTTTTTGATAATTAATAACTTTTATATATTAAAATATATATTATTATATCTTCAGTTTCTAATTGAGATGATTAATAAACAAATCAAGAGTTTATAAAATAAGTAGTTAACAAAGCTATTTCTATTTTTAAAAAAATATATTCTAATAAAGTAATACTTTTTATATTTAATAATAATAATAATTATAATATATACACTAATAATATCTTGATAATTTTGAAAATGAATTTAAAGAATAAGAATAAATAATCACTTTTTCATAATAAAAAGAATATCTAATAAATTATTTTATATTATAATATTTATTAATATTAATAGAATAATAAAATCAATAAATATTTAGCAAATTCTTGAAAAGTATAAATTATAAGTGCAAGAATTAGTAAAGTAATATAATTTATACAAGTTATATATTAATCTATCAAATTTATAATATTATATAACTAGTATTTTTAATTTCTAATTATTATTAATTTACAAAATTTAATTAGATTTATAACTATTCTGTCAAAAGATTATTCAATTTTAAAGAGATATAAAGATTATTTAGTAATTCTTCTACCAGATATTTTTGATTAATAATCTGATTTTACATCTTAAAAAAATTATTTACAAGTGATTATTAAAGTGACTGATCATATATATATTTCCTATTCAAAGTTTTATTGTAAGTTCAATTATATAAAGTTATTTTAAAGAAATATAAAGGAATATTTATATTTATATTGTAATTATACTTTCAAAAATCTCAAAAAAATAGGTTTATATATATTAAAATTATTTTAATCAGAATTTATCAATTTATATATCAGTCTAATTAATATATAAGTATATATAAATAAGATCTTTAAAAAAATAAAAAAATATTAATTACATTATTGAGTTCTAGAAATATTTTAGAAGAACTTGATTATATAAAATAAAAGATTAAACTTATATTTGAAAAATTAAGAAATAATATTTGAATCAAATTTAAAAGATAAAAGTTATATTTGAAGAATTAAGAGATTATATTTAAATAATTATTTTTCTTTTCCTTTTTTATCTCTTAAAATAAAAAAAAATATCACTAAATATATATATATAAATAATTTTTAAAAATTAAGAATAATATTATTAAAGTTTTTTATTAGTTTGCTCTATTATAGATTAATTAATCATATATATTATACAAAATTAATTAATTAGATATAAATTATATATATCATATAAAGATTTAATCAATCTGAGAAGACTTCTTAATGCTAAAAATTTTATAATTTATTATTTTTTATAATAAAATATTCATAAAAAAGTTTAATTACTCAATAAATTATTATTATACTTTATAAAAAAAATATATATAATTATAATTCTTATTAAAGACTATCTAATAATATATTCTTTTTTAAAATTTTATTTTTAGATATAAAGTTTTAGTTATTTAAAATATTAGATATCTTTAAACTTTCTGTATTATATAATTAAAATTATATATATCTTTTATTTAGATAATAAAAGTAAAAAAAATAAATTCTTTATAATAAATAAAATATATATTCAAAAAATTTTTTAAAAAAAATAATGAAATTATTATTAAAAAAGAATTATATAATTCTAAAACAGAACTATATATAATAGAAAAAATATATCAAATAAAAAAGATTCTTAATAATATAAAGTGAATAATAATAATAAAAATTTGAATTTTAAAGAAATTTTTGAGAATAATAAGAGTTTTTAAAATAAATAATAGATAAAAATAAAAAAATAATTGAAATTTAAATTAAAAATCTATTAAAAAAGCTAAATATAAAGAAAAAAAAGATAATAATTTAGAAATAAAGAAGAATTAAATCTTATCTAATAAAAATTTAAAGAGAATTTATATTAATATAATAATAAAACATATTTTAATAATAAAAATAAAGATTTTTATACTATTAATATTGATAAAAAAGTATAGAAATAAATGATAAAATTAATTTAAATTATTTATTACTAAAGTTATAATCAAAATTATAATAATTACTTCAAAAAAAGATAATAAGATTTCAAAAATACAAAATATTTCAGTTATAGTAACTGTAAAAAATAAAAAATAACTTTAAAAATCTAAAAATAATTCTAAAAGTAATTCTAAAAGCAATTTTAAAAGTCTTAAAAATCACTCTAAAATTAACTATTTTTATAAAAGCTAAAGTTATAAATATTGAATATTTATTATTATCAAATTATATAACTTTAGTTGTAATTTTAAAATTTATATTTATTTTAACTAATATTACTAATAACTTGAGTACTAGTTCTATATCTTATTCTAATATATCAATATTAAAAATTACAATTATAAAGCTGAATCAATAACTTTATATATTTATTTAATAAATAAGTATCAAGATTAGTTAAAAAAGAGCTGCTAGTAATCAAGCAGTATCAGTTAAGAAGAAAAAAAGAACAAAATAAGCTATATCTCAAATCTTAGCTAATAATCCTATCACTTATCTTTCACTTCTAAAATATAGTATTATTAAGATATCTTCTATATCTATTATAAATAATAAGTTTAAAAGATTAAAATTATATCAATAAATAAATCAGTTTCTTTAGCTACTACTACTAGTACTATTTTATAAAGAAAATATCAATCAATAATAATCAATTACCAATTATAAATTCTATCATCAAAAATTGAAGTAATTTATATAATTAGAAAGAGTAATATAACTATCAAGAGTCACATTGAAGCCTTCAGATCTAAAATCAAAACAATACTTATAATACTATTATTCTCTTAAACTTGATGAAGAAAGTCTCAGTTATTGATAAAGAGACTAAACAGGTGAATATTCTAAAATTGAGAACTGAAAGCCACATGTTAAATAATTTTTTTAACATTTATATAGGATTATAATATATTTTATGCAGTACTGTGAGAATTTTGTTTATTATGTTACAAATTTTTTTATGATTGAATTTTGATATAATGTCTATTTGTTTATATTAGATGATATATTCAATCATCAATCAACAAAATTTGTTTAAATTCCTCAAAAAATTATTGAGTCAGACTTTTTAAGATAAAAACATAGCGATAATATTTATTATTGTGAAGGCTTAAAATTCATGTAATTTTTTAATTATGAGATATTGGAAATGTGATTATTATTAATTATTATATAAAATTCCAGCATCAGCCGTCACAATTATTAATTGATTTACCAGATTTTGAGATGATACTTGGTTTATGCTAAAGATCAATATCCAATGGATAATTTGATTTATCACTCAAAACTTCCAGATAAAAGCCAATATTCGCTTCCGGTTGTTGCTCCATAGTTTCTAAAAATATTTAATTCTTCCTGAATAGCTAAATGCTGACCAGACATTCGTTAGTATGACTGGATATATTGGTGACGTGTCACATGTATATTTGATCCTGTATTACTTTTTTGGTATTAGTGAGAATGCTGGTTAAATACATGTACTTGACTTGAATGCGATTTTATATCTCAATTAATGACTTATAATTTTTGAAATAAAACAAATTAGAATATGTATTTTGGTTAAGTTGATATTTCACACAAATATATTTTATTTCTTATAAATTGACCCCTTAAATCAATTGACGTTGAATACATATTTCGATGTAGATTCTTCATCGAAAATTGCACCGCCTAACTTTATTGCATGTACTTTAAATGGTTTTATTTGAACGTATAATATACGATTAAAGAAGAATATTTAGACAATTGAAAATTTTTACATGTACATGTATCAGCAAAGAACTTGTAAACACTTCTAATTATGTAATACTCGTACATTTAAGGCGCAGGCTACAATACAATAAAAGTAGTAAAAATTTTAATAGCAAGAATGGTAATTATACGTATTTTCCTTGAGAAATGACCAAAAATTGACAACGAACAAACCTTGTCTTTTTCCAGTATAAATTCACATTAATAATTTTTGCTTTATTACAATTTTTATGGCAAGTTTAGACGATGCTAATGTTTCAAGAAGGTATTAGAGCTCAGCAAATTATGCTAAAAATTTTTTTATATTTAGAACAAAATGACGACATTGCTACATTTGTGAATAAAATACAAGAATTTCTATATTCATCATACATGTACATGTATGTTTTATTCATTAATTATTATTATCTATGTTTCTATATAGTAGTTTTATTATAAGTGTTTACGCAAATTACTATTGTAGTTATATAGAAGGATATAAGGAAGCCAAATTCAATAATTCTTTGCAAGATTTTTGATCTATTCTATACAAAACCACTACTTTTTTCAACCGCGTCAATCCGGCATCTATCAACGGGGCGACCATAGAACCCGAAATATTAATACATCCAATGAATTCTATTGATACTAGTTTTCGACATTTCGCTAGTCCGATCCACGGTTCGCATCCTAGAAAATCACAGTCTATGAATTTTAAATGGCAAATTGTATGCGATTGTGATTGAATCGCAGCGATGATTGCGCTCAAATAACCGGAGCATTCTTTTAATGTTAGTGATTGTAAATGATGTTGTGATTCAATTACGGTCGTGAAGTCGGTATGGTATTTAATTGAAGAGTCGCCGATCCACTTTCTTGATCTTGGAAGATCAGTCAACTCTAAATTCCGCTAAATAAAAAAATTCGAATGAGTTTAGCTTTACATTAAGTATTTAATTGAATCTTTTTACTTACCACATTCCGGAAGTTCGCCGCAAATATTTTAAACAACTTTTTACATCCACCCAAATTTGCCTCGAGAACCAAATGTTCAACAGGTCTTAACAACGCATTAAATTCATTATCCTCCAACATTTCACAATACATTTCATCAGAACTAAAACTCATCGGTGCAAATCGCAACCAAGTCAAACTTCCCGCCTGCACCGAAAACAATTTCAACAAAGCTCTTATCACCAACTTCACAGTTTCACAAGGCACATCGGTATAGTGAGATTGCGAGTAAATAGTCCAAACAGATTCCAACATCACTCCGTAATCTAAACATCGTAAATATGTGGCGTATTTAAACATTTGAGTGTGTTCGGGTGCCGGAAGATTTATCCCCTGCTCGAGCAGAACACGGCGTTGATCTCGATCGAGCATTGTCAAATAGAGACGAACTAGTTTACATCGGTCATACGCCAGATCTGTTGTCCGTAGTGTGTATAGTCGATGTAGTCGCCATGGATGTCTATAGAGTATTTTAACTGCTGATTGACTCCATTTTTTGTTTACCAGCATACAGTTAAATAGATTAGGATAAGCTTGTAAACTGTATAAAATATCATCGTCGGACGGCTGTGTTAATAATTCGAATATTTGATCCAAAATATCTGACACTAATTCAGGCGCTGGTTTTCCCAAGTATCGTGATGAAGGTAATTGTTTTATTAGTAATGTTGACCGGTTCACTCGTGGTATATATGCGACGCCTTTTTGGAATTTTGAGCTTTAAAAAATGCATTACTATTAATTGCCTTACTTATACAAAGTAATTGAAATAAAGTAAAACAAAGCTTAATTATTACCTCGCGGAAATGACTTGAGCTGCTAGCCCAATTTTTTTACGAAACATTTTTTATGGTTTGTTAGATATAAAATTTTTATTTGAGAATAGTAAAAACGAAAAAAGTGAGAAAGAAAAGGCAGCAGTCAATGTGAACCCATTCGGCAATTTCATATAATTATACAGGTACTTCTGTACATGCTATGCAAACACACTTGCATATGCACAAACATATGGACAAAAATCGCCATAATCGGAAACTTGATGAACACCTTACATCCAATGACGGACGATTCTTTTAGTCAATCGGGTGTGACAGATGAATTAAAACCTATCACCATCGGATATCGCTGTGAACTATCGCTATTGGATTAGAATATGTATATAGGTGTGTTCTGTACCAGCACTGTACATGTATTTATTTATAGCGAAAGGCAAATTTTTATTTACATAATTTAAATTTATACAAATATTTGTAACCAAATGTTTTTAAATTCAGACTAAACAATAGCAACAACGGCATGTATTAAGAAGGCAAAGACACCGGCGAAAGCAAATACGTGATAATTAATATCATTTCCGAGATTAGCGCTCGAGCTTGAAGTTGGAGCAGAGTCACTTGAGGGTAAAGTAGAGCTACTTGAGACTGGAGTAGAGGTATTTGAGGATGTAGCGTTGCTCGAGGGTGAAGTAGATTTACTTGAGGATGTAGAGTTGCTTGAGGATGAAGTAGAGTTTTTTGAAGATCCAGAATTATTCGAGGATGTAGCGTTATTCGGGGATGCAGAGTTATTTGTGGACGTATTTGAACCGGACTTTGTAGCATTGCTATTTTGAATATGCAAAAATTAAATAGCATGCGCTTATGAAACATATGGATAAGTAATAAATATCTTACTTTGCTGTTGATGATGATGAACTAGTAGAATTTCCTGTTGAATTAAAGAGGCAGCCGTATTATTATTTGTTCCAACACCTTCAGAATTATCTGATATTACCTGTTGCTGCGCCATTATTTCCGCCAGTTGAAGACGAAGTGGAACTACCTTTATTATTTGGAGTTGAACCAGGAGGTTGGTTACCAGGAGATTGATTGCCAGATTGGTTGCCAGATTGGTTGCCAGGAGATTGGTTGCCAGGAGATTGATTGCCAGGAGATTGGTTGCCAGGAGATTGGTTGCCGTTTGCAGTGTCTCTGCAAAATCACAGCAAATGATGTAGCACGTAGCATAGGTGAATAAAAAGATACAATTCAAATATTTGCTCACCTCTTTCTTTCGTATGAATGTACACTATAAATAACAGCCAACAAAGTCAACAACACAAGAATTAATTTGACAGATTTCATTTTCATAAATTTTTTTGTTTACTAAGTACAAGTAAAGAACGATAAACTCTTCTAAATCTTACCTTCTAACTCGCTTTATTATATACCAATATTGACTTTGTTTACAAACCTCAGAATTGCGATGAAGCGTGGCATTTCTTGTGTGGCTATGCTGTGCATGTTTTCTTGTTTTGACAAAGCCATGCTAATAATTTGCGCCCTTGTTAATTACAATAAGCCATTTTTAAACAGTTGACTCTTTGTTATAGGAGAGTCAACTGTTATTTGTTAGATAATTTCTTTTGGAGAAGCGCGGACGAAGCCTCATATATGTTGGAAAATGACGGATATCTGAACTTCCCCAACACAAAAACTAGGCATGTGACTTTTTGTGGCTGTAATGTGGCTTAATGTTTCCCGTTCGTGGCTAAGAAATTAATAAAATAAAGCTCATTTTTCATTTTTTAAAAAATTGCTTGTATCTCGAAATTTTGCCTATGAAACTGCTCTTTGTGCTCTATCAAAAATTGTTCCTTGTGAAATTTTGCCTTATCCGAGTGTCTCTTTTTCTGCCTAATATTGATGCTTTAATTCTAATTAACGCTTATTATTTTTAATAAGAATTATTCAGCAAAAGATATTTTATATGAAGCAAAATTTCGCAAGAAACAATTTTCGATAGAACAAAAGAACAGTTTTATAAGAAAATTTTAAAATAAAAGTTATATTTAAAAAAAGAACTTATATCTTATAATTTGATTAATTAATATAGCAGATCAATAATAAATATTAAGTCATATAACATTCACAAAAAGTCACATGTCCAAAGTTTTTTGTTGATTACACTGAGAAAATTTAAATACTTGAAATTTTATCACAAATTGATATGAATTAAGATTCATTTAATTTGAATATATAATATAATAATTATATTAATTATAATATAATTAAAAAATATTATAATATTATTATAAATAATATATATTAAATTTATATTAATTTTTAATTATATATTCAAATAAACTATAAAATTATAAAAATAAATATTAAAATCTTTAATAAAAAATTTTATAGAAATAATTTATAATCTTAATTTCAAGTTAATAACTTTATAATTATAATTAAATAAAATTATAATTTTTAAATTATTTATAATTAAAAATTATTTATTTAATAATAATTTATAATTTCAATTTATAATTTAAATTAATAAATTAAT